GACTACTATATACTTTGACTATATAACGGCGAGTATATGCTTGTGTCTGGCGATGGCGTACTGCTGTACGTGTGACTCGACGTGTGTGTGTGTTGTGCGTGTATGCATTACTATCTCCAACAATTTCTTATCATTAGCCGATAAAGATCTTAAAGATTGCACTTAAAGGCACTTGAATAAATCYGTAAATATGTTTATATTGTACTCGTATGTTATCGACGAGTGGCTTGGGCAAATAATAAGTAAATTAACTAAGTTCATTTCAAACGATTTTTATCTTAATATATATCGCATTCTAATTGTATACCAATTATAGTATTGAGAATTTCTGCTGAAGGCTGTTTGTAGAGGAATGCTTGCCACAGTGACTTATAAAGTTCATTCTGTCGCTGCGATTTTCAATTCAATTCATTTGGCAGCTATATGCTATATTGGTGCGATATCGGCGGTTTCGACAAATGAACAGCTTCTTGAGAAGCTAGGGACGTCTGCAACATTTCATATCGATATCTCAAACACCGAGTTACTACATAGTTCCCTCATGTACACACAGACGAAGAGAAGAACAGATGGACATGGCTACATCGACCAGTCTCATCCCAAAGGCAATTGACGCCATAGAGCTAGGTTACGCATTCCTTAACTAAACCTGAACGCACTGTTAATGAGTTGAGTGGATGGCACTTCTCTGAAGGAGGCAACACTCCGTGGGTGTAAATCTACTGCTACCTTAATGGCTGCAAACTTGCCTTCAAAAACACTGTAATAGTCAGGAAGTCTGAAGCTGGAGTTCATAGAGAGCTCCTGACAGTAAACCACTCCACYRACCTCCCCCCAAGCTTTGATCCATCCATAAGCTATCCTTATTTGTCCTCTACCCCAATGGATTCTTCCCAGCCATAACTCCCTTGCCGGTGTATGGGCAGCGAGGGAGCCGCCAGAGTTCGRTTTAGCGACTCCATCATCCAATTGATCCAGTATGAAGTCAAAGTRTGAAAGTCATTCGTTAGATAATAGTTTTTTTTTTTCATGGCAACGCCAAGTGGATTTTTCGAAATTTATAATTTTCACTCATTTTCATTATGAAACATTTTGAAAAAAAATGCAATTTTTGCGAGATCACTTTAGCTAGGAGTTGACAAGTGAAAGTCGTAGATTAATAGTAACATACAAAGATTATGTACATCCTTAAGTTAGAGATAATATATAAAATATAAGACACTTTCAGTAGTATTTTCGCTGCAGATAATAACAATTCCCAYAAGAACCTCGCAAAGAATGCTTTCACTGAACTTTATGTTATTTTATGTAGCACAGGTTTTTAGGCTCAACAAAGATCAGGTTAAGTCTAGAGCTCACTGCCAAAATTAATCCCAAAAATTCCATGTAGATTTTTTATGATTGTAGACTGCTTTTTTAACCAACGGTGATCAGAGTCCCTTCTATTTTAAGCCCCTTTACGGAGAGGGCGGGCAAGTAGTACTTCTTATCTATCAAAAGATAGTGTCCAAATGCTACTTTGCTAATTAGTTTTCATACCTATACTTTTACTTGAAACTTATCGAATAACAACAATAATTTTTAATTATCAAGTACTTATGAAAAAAATAACCAAATTTGCTTTACTTTTCTAAACACAAAATATTATCAAAATGACAATTATAATTTGAGTTGGCTTCAGTGTTGCYAACTTGCCTTCGCACGAGTGAACTGCTTATATAATTTACTGTTTATATTAATAATGACCCACTCACTCTCTCTCTCTTTCTCTATCTTCTCAATTTTTTCCCTACCCTCTGCGAATGTAGACTGTATAATGCTGTCGGTAAATACTGCTTGCCTCTTGGCGGCACTCTTGGGGTTGGTCTACGTTTGGTGTCGTTACACATTTGGCTACTGGAAACGMAATAAGATTCCCTATATGACGCCATTGCCACTGATTGGCAATATGCAAGTTTTATTTACAATGAGCAATAGTTTCTATCTATATCTATCGGATATTTATAAAGACGCTAGAATGTCAAAGGCTGCAGCGGTCGGCATCTATATACTCAATCGGCCAGCGTTAGTGTTACGTGAACCGGAACTTATAAAATCMGTGCTAATAAAGGAGTTTCCAAAGTTCGTTAATCGGTCAGGTGGATGTGATCCACACAATGATGCTTTGGGTTCAAATAATCTATTTTTCATACGCAATCCGCAATGGAAAGATTTGAGAACGAAAATAACGCCGGTTTTCACAACAGGAAAGATCAAGCAAATGTATCCACTAATGACTGAGGTTAGTATGYGCGTTAAGTGTTCCTAACTTTAGTATTAATATATATTTTATATTATGTGTATCCCTCGTTACGCGCCTATAGATCGGCGCGGARTTGGAAGCCCATTTAAATTCGCATGCGAAAACTGACAACGCTTTCGTAACTGAAATTAAAGAGATTTGTGCGCTATTCACCACCGACATGATTGCCACCATCGCTTTTGGTGTGAAAGCCAACAGTCTTGTAAATCCCAATGCCGAGTTTCGTGTGAAAGGACGACAACTGTTCAACTTTACACTCAGCCGCGCTAAGGACTTCTTTGTAATTTTTTTCTTTCCAAAGTGGGCCTCTACATTTCGTGCTCAATTTTTTACAACGGAGTACAGCGCATTTTTACGTGGCACCATCGGTCAAGTGATGGCGTTAAGAGAGAAGAGCAAAGCAACTCGTAACGATCTGATCGATGTGTTGGTGAGCCTCAAAGAAGAGGCTATTGCGAAAGGCGAATATAATGCACAGCTACAGGATATTTTGACAGCACAAGCTGCTGTGTTTTTCTCAGCTGGCTTTGAGACGTCCTCTTCGACGATGACATTTGCGCTCTATGAATTATCCAAACGACTCGACTTACAAGAACGTCTGCGCAATGAGATCTGTGAAGCTCTTATAGCTGAACAGGGTAAAATGTCATATGAGACAATCAATAATCTACCATATCTGAGTATGGTAGTGGACGAAGTGTTGCGTTTATACCCAGTAGTACCTTTTCTCGATCGCGAACATCTGCCTAAGGATGGGGAAAAACAATGTGATCTTAAACCGTTTTACGATTACACAGTGCCAGTAGGCATGGCTCTTTATGTACCAGTCTTCGCCATACAACGTGACCCCGAGGTAAGTTAGTTTAGCAACGGATACACTCAATACTTACTGCAKCGTTTGAGGTTTCAAGCAATTTTTATGGTTATCACAATTTTTTAATTCTAGTTTTGGCCCAATCCGAACACGTTCGATCCTGAACGCTTCAGCRSYGAGAATAAGAAAACCCATAAGCCTATGACGTACCTTCCCTTCGGTAGTGGACCACGTAACTGTATTGGTGGTCGCATCGGTTTGTTACAGTCTAAGCTGGGTTTGGTGCATATTTTGAAGAATCATTATGTGACCACATGTGAGAAGACACCGTCTGAAATCACTTTCGATCCACTGTCCATAGTTTTAAGTTATAAAGGAGGCATTTACTTGAAATTGGTCAATGACAAACGATGCGAACGCATTGCGAGGCAGTAAATGTGCGAAATAATTTCAAAAAATATCGAAAAAATTAAAATCATGTTTTAAAATAATTTGTTTTTTTAATAAAAAATTAAACACAAAAGTGTTGAAACTAAAATTAAAGTGAAAATTTGTTGCTCTATCCCTCCAACAAGGTAGGTTTGAAATCCAAGTTTAAAGCAGAAGCAATAGTGAGATCCTTAGAACGCCAGTGATGCTTCTTTTCGCAATGTGGCGCCAATTGGAGATTCCAAGCGAAGACAGGACCTTGTGCACCTGTTCTTTATAACGGAGTGGAGGTCTTCCCTCGGCGGGCGACTGCTTCGAATTCTTTCATTTACTGAACTATGTCAATGTCGTCGAATGTATATTTCATACAACTCATCGTTTCATCGAATGCGATATTCGACGCGTCTAACGCGCAAAGGTCCATAAATAAATAATCTGGAGACGTAAAATTTCATGATCTTGACGGCCATTTGAAGGGGCCATTTTTTGAAAATGACGAGTCGTTTAAATTTCCACAAAATGTGCCCATGTTTAAACGTGAAATATGAGGCAGAGCACAAGACGGCTCGGAATCGACAAATCAAAAACAACCGGGCACATCATCCACCATGGTAGGCTCTGTAATATAAGCCGTGTGAGTATATTTTTTAAAGTTTTCATGGTAAAAAAATGAGGAGTTTCCGGATATCCCCCAGGAAAAAATATATTCAAGGATTGCCACGCTAAGTCTAGAAGTGGTGAAAAGAGCACCGAAGACGCACAATGCAGCGGACGCCCAAAAGAATTTATTACCGACGAAAACATCAAAAAAAAGTCCACAAAGTAATTTTGTACGATCGTAATGTGCAGTTTTTCGAGATAGCAGGCATTCTAAAGATCTCAACTGAACGTGTACATTATATTCATTGAAGGAAATTTGGAGATGAGAAACCTCTGTACAAAGTGRCTGACGCGCGAGCTCTTCTTTTTCTTTATTGGCGTAGTCATCGCTTACGCRATTATAGCTGATATTCCAAGTGAAGACAGTTCCTTCTCCACTTGGTCCTTCCAACGGAGTGGAGGACGCGGGGACTGCGTCGAATACTTTCASAGCTGGAGTGTTTTCGTCCATCCGGACAACATGACCTAGCCAGCGTAGCCGCTGTCTTTTAATTCACTGAACTATGTCAATGTCATCGTATATCTCGTACAGCTCATCGCTCCATCGGATGCAATATTCACCGTGGCCAAGGCGCAAAGGACCATAAATCTTTCGCAGAACTTTTCTCTCGAAAACTCGCAACGTCGACTCATCCGTTGTTGACATCGTCCAAACCTCTGCACCATAAAGCAGGACGGGAATTATGAGTGACTTAWASAGTTTGGTTTTTGTTTGTCGAGAGAGTATTTTTCTTCTCAATTGTCTACTSMGTGACRCGCGRGCTCACTTTCCACTAAAAGCAATAACAAGTTGACGATTCGAAGCAGTGTTTGGAGCTGTTTAAGCGTAATAAACCCGAGTTTTTGCGTCGGTATGTGACAATATATGAAACATAGGACCAACATATCACTACAAAGTTCAATCAACAGTTATCTGTATGAACTGCCTAAGATGAGTCCGCTTCAAGGCATGGAAAAGGGAATAGTCGGCTGGCAAGGTTATGACGTCCGTTTTGTGTGATGCGCCTGGTATAACTTTTATTGACTGCCTTCAAAAAGGAAGAACCATCAACTRCGACTATTACATAGCGTTACTGAACCGCTTTAAGAACGAAATACTCGAAAAAAAAGACCGCATTTGCAGAAAACTTAGGTGCTGTTTCACCAAGGCAACGCAGCGTGTCATAATTCAATAAAAACAATGACGAAAATCTAWGATTTGGGCTTCGATTTGTTTCCGTAAACTCCGTTTTTGCAAGATTTTGACATCCAACGACTATTTTCTGTTCTCAAATATTAAAAGTATGCTCACTGGGAATACATTTTCATCAAGTTAAGAGATGATCACCGAAACTGAGGCCTATTTTGAAGAAGTCATACTACAAAAATGGTATTGAAAAGTTGGATGGTCGCTATAATCAGTGTATCACGTTTGAGGGAAACTTATTTATTAGATTCGATGCAATTATAGCTTTTCTTTTTAGTTGTTTTTTATGTGGCGGGTCCCAAACCGTACAGCGTACAACTCTGGGTTCGCCTTTTCACTTTAGCTTGCCTTCAAACTGATGTTCTTTGGCTACACAGAGGATACTTGGTCTAGAACCGGAAGTCGTAAGCTGCTTGAGCCATATGTAAAATAATCGTTTCTGACCATTTCCAAGTGAATGGCGTTCAGAKAACTTTCCTCATTTGCATGAACTTCTACACATGGCTCCATTCTCCACATAATTTGCCAAAAATGTGTTTTACTTTGGTTGGCTGGGGACTTTTCAATTTTCCTGTTACGTCGTTGTGACACACTGAAGTTCAGAGGAGCTCAAGAGAAAATTTTTTGGTCGGAACTCTCAAACTAACCTCGTATCAATCTACGCTTCCTAACTTTTTTTAAAGAAAGCATATGACGAATTTTTTTATTCCAGCTAGCATAAGATCTCTTTGTGATCGCGTGTGTCATTATAAGCAGCAAATTGCAAAATTGCAGTGGGCATGCTATATTTTAAGTATACATATGTATATATAATACTACAACCTCAAGTCACGCCTCACAAAAAAAAAAGAGTATAAATATTAGCATGCAAAAAATGTTATTGACCCAAGCCTAGAGATGCAGAAAAAATATTTTTCTTTGAATAAAATGTATGTATTTTACTGAATCGTGTTTGAGTTGTGCAATGGACCTTGAAGTGCCYTTAAAATCGCATGCCATCAAAAAGTTTTCACTCATTCGCACGTTTCGTACGGTCAGCACTGCTCTTCACAAATCTACAGACGGCAACTAACAGCACACTATATACGCTCGCATAGCGGACTACGCACAACATTCAGATAAATACCGCCTTCGGCCTGTATCACGACCGCCTTGCGATCCAGCTGCATGGGAATCTTGGTGCGCGCACAAGTCGTCACTTTGTGGTTAAGTAGTAAATAGGTGAGTCCGATTTTGGTTTGTAGCATAGCGAAGCGTTCGCCAATGCAAGCGTGCGGACCCAGTCCAAATGGCATATAAGTGTAAGGTGTCAACTGTTTCTTGTTGTGTGGTGCAAAACGCTCTGGATCGAATTTCGACGGTTCTGGGTAGTACTGTGAGTAGTGTTAGCAAAAATGAGTGTTTCATAATCGTTGCAACAAAAGAAATATTTACCTTCGGATCCATATGCAGGCCATAAACCGGTATGTAGACTGGCATGCCGTGTGGCAAACGATATYTGTGAAACGGTTCCAACGAGTAACCATCTTCCRCCAACGGCGCAGTGCATTGCCGATCGAGAAACGGTAGCGGTGGATAGAGGCGCAATACCTCACAGATTACCATTTGCATATACGCCAATGATTCGATAAATTCGTATGTCACTTTGCCGCCAGTGTGCTCTAGGCCCGCGGCAATTTCGTCACGTACACGTTGCTGCAAATCTGRACGCTTCGCAAGCTCATACAGTGCAAAGGACATTGTAGCCGAGGACGACTCAAAGCCGGCTGTGAAGAAAAGCGCCGCTTGTGCCACTAAAATGTCACCCTCATAGATGAGTCCACTGGCAGATTTTTTATTTTTGGTCGAATTTTTAAACTCAATAAGTATATCGATTAGATCGTTACGTTTTTCGCCCGACAACTCACGTTGTTCCATCACATAGTTGATTGTGGTACGCAGGAACTCTGTAGAGGTAGGTGGCACTACTTTRAAACCTAGATACGGTACTAAGTGTGGCATGAARAAAACAATCGTAAATTCTAGTGAACGCCGCACACTGAACTTGAACACAGCGCGACCATGTCGACGAAATTCGCCATTCGGTTGTTTGAAACAGTTCGCTTGAACGCCGTAAGCGACAGTCGCTATCACGTCCGTTGTGTAGAGAGCGCACAGCTCTTTCATTTCCATCACGAAAGWTTGTGTTTCRTTGCACTCAACGGTTTGAGAGAGCAAATATTTGTCGAGCTCGCGACCGACCTGTAGAGAAAAGTTAAAATTATGAGATGATGTAGAGTGAAGATTAGATGGTTGAGATGAACCAAATGTTTTGAACTGTATCACATTGTGGTCAACAGCAGATTTGTTGCTATCGATTTTATTGACTTGCTGTCAAAGATTTATGTATAGTATATWCCGGATAAAGTTTAAGACTAAAAATACTCACTTTTTTTTTAACGCACTTAATTCCGGGAATTCAAGTTTATTCATGGAACCTAACAGTAAGAGTAAAATATTCTACGAAACCTACTCACAACCTACCTCCTCCACCAAAGGAAACATATGCTTCAGTTTTCTACTGGAAAAGAATGGTGATAACTTGAAGCGTACCTCCTTCCAGGCAGGATTACGCAGAAAAAATATATTTAAAGAACCCAATGGATCGCCTTTGTAATCGGAATTGGAAAATCTATARACGGAAAAAAAGAACACTTAGTGCTGTATTCAAACCCATGCTGTTTCCAAACACTCACCTATCGCAAAACTTGGAAAAGTCCTTCACCAAAATGCGTTTCACAAGTTCCGGATCACGCAATAGAACGGCCGGTTGTGTGAAGACATGTACGCCAACGAACGGTTCGCTYCGACCTTCTGGATGTTCATAAAGACTCTGCACAAACTCTGCTGGACTGCGTTGCATTGAAAAGAGGCCACCTAAATTGCCCACGCCGTAAGTGGGCGTCAAATGTGGCACCTGATGGCGCTGCCAATAATCATACCGATAGCGCAACCAAACGTATGCCAATCCAATAAGGAGTAGTAGGAGCAGTAAACTTTCGAACCACATTGCGTCTTGGTGTCAGCAGCACAAAACGAAGAATGTATTTGCAAATGCTCTGAGCGCCTCATTTTATGACATTGTAAAGCAGTGAACGGATATGTGWACAGTGAACTATTTGACCTGAACTTGAGCGGTTGAGTTGTATTTTGGGAAATGTCTACTAATTTCGTCAAGCATTGAATGTATAATATAATGAAGAAGCGCTAGAAGTCAGACTACACTTGACTCTTTACGCTGCAGCTGTTTTCTMTAAAAATTATGTATGCATTTGATATGAATGGGAAGTCTTTGCATTAATTATGTTTATTTACGGAAGGGAAGTTAGTAAATAAAACAAAGCATATGCCCTTTACAGCAGAAAAGGTAGAAAGACTCATCTAGAGACTGGTATCTATAAAAAATATCTCAAGCGATTTTTTTGGAGAGATTCAATACTCTAAACCTGTAAGAGATTGTCTAGCCTAAGTCGACGGCAGATATTACAGTAGCCTCTTATAGAGTTTGTAATAAATAATACCTCTAGGTCTAGGTCCGAAGTTAAGCCGAAAAGTTGAGCTTTGTACAAAAGGTATGGCAAATTTTGAATTTTCGTGGGTTATTTGTATAAAATACGAAATGTGCTCAGAGGGTCGAGAGGATGTAACCGACTAACAGCGTGCCGCACATCCGAGCACATCAAGTAATGACGAAAGCTATAATAAAGTGAAGAAAATAGTATTGTCCAATCGTGGAATTACCATTAGAGAAATTGCTGAGGAACTTAACATATCGATTGGCTCGAGCCATTCAATTTTAACCTATGATTTGGCATGAATCAGGTTCATCGCCTTCGACCAAAAACAGCATCGCGTTGCTATTGCTCCGGAAATGTTGGCTTCAGCCCACGACGACCCAGATCTACTACAGAGGGTTATAACTGGTGACGAATCATGGGTTTATGGTGTGATGACGTGAATACCTGAGCTCAATCATCTCAATGGAAGCGGTCGCATGAGTCAAGACCGAAAAGAGCGCGTCAAGTTAAGTCGAATGAAGGTTTTGCTAACAGTTATCTTTGATGGTAGGGACGACGTGGATCATGAGTTTTCAGCAAAGGGTCGTACGGTCGATAAAGAATATTATTATAATAAACTGAAGAGACTGATGAAAGGACGATGCTACTCTACGATTCAGGTTCTCACAAAGAACTACGTTTTCAAGTGTTTTGAGGATTGGAAAAAACTCTGGCAGAGATGTAATATATCTCGGGTTGATTACTTTGAAGGAACGAAATATATATTCGTTAATAAATAAAGATTTTCTTAAAAAATACAAAATTTTGAATTCATATTTTAAAGCAAAATTAGTACGGAAACTCTTCAGTAGAGCAATTTTTTGGACTCTCAACTACGCTCTACGCACCCAACACACTAGGAATCACAGAAGTTGTTTTTATCGTAAATTTTCAACGAGTCTTGCGTGCCACCTTGAACTACCTACTTTATCACCACACTGGACTTAGAGAAGCGCAGAAAATAAAACGTCTTCTCAATCTACAATTATCAGGTATTGAAGACAAAAGCTCTCATCTTTGCCACACTGATCTTGCTACCACTTTGGTTTCAAATCTGTTATGGTTTTTATCCCCGTCGGATAATATCATGTCTCGGCCCATACCTCTCGACGAGAGACAAGCAAACTTTTCGCTAGTAGATATATCAAAATACCTATGCCGAACTACTAAAAGGGTATATCATACGTAAGATAAAACAAGACGCGTCCCAACAAAGTGTCGGCGTTGCTGTGATCACTGAGGTCAAAGACGCACACAATAGACGTTACAGCTGCGCTATTCAATAGCATCGATGCTTCAGGTCTGAGCAATGATGGCTGCGAAACGCGCACACAGTGTAAAGATCTCTTYCAACCCAGTTTGCGTAAGATTATCGATTTCTTTGCAATATTTTTTCTACCGAAATGGRTGCGTACRACTAYTTACRCCGTTTAGTGGAGGAATGCTTGAAAGTGAACAAGCATAAGCCGGCGCTTATCTACATTTTGGGCTCACATAATGATACAAAGGTAAGATTTCTATGAATTTAACGCTAAAAATTCTACAAAACTCAAAAAACATCACTACTCGAAAGACAAGAAACAAATCAGACCTTAAAGAGAAGCACCTCACACCTCGAATTGTGTAAATTGTGAGCTTCTTAAAGCTGAAATAAATCCATTACAGTCTTCTTATGTACTATATTCGACAACGCACCAAAGTAAACAGGACAGTAAACGCTTTCCTTTCATGTGTAAATGCATTTTTCCGAAAAGGAAGAAGTCGCACGGTGCCATATCAGTTGAAAACGGGGCGTGGTTAATGGTTTAAATGCGATTTTTGGTCAAATAATCGGTCACAAGCGTCGATCGATGAGACTATTCTGAGCAATTTTTGGTCGTCAGTCAATTTGTGCGGAACAATTCCGGCTGACTTTTGATGAATTCACCCACAGTTTCGATGGAATTTCCAGTGAACATGGATTCAGATTGGCGCACATGTTGATCGTCTTTTATGTCCTCATGACCACTTTGAAAACATTGAAACCACTCGTGAACTCTGCTACCAGATAGGCAATCATCACCATAAACTTGTTTCATCAATTGAAACGTTTCGGTAAAAGTTTTACCAAATTTAAAACAAAATTTAATGATGTCTCTTTGTTCGAGGCTTTTTTTCGCACCGATAACACAAACATACTGACACATAAAACGCAATAACTTCACTTCCAATCAATGAAATGTCATGGAATTCTCACTGGACAATCATAAAAAGATAGCAGATTCTAACGCATCAGTCGACATATAGATGGCGCCACCAGGGTGCACCTTGTAGGCATATTTTGTTATTAACTATTTCATCGTCTAAGAAGAAGCTCCCGTTGGATAAGCTCCCTCAACATCGCATAAAAAACGTTCTGTGTGAAAGGTTAAAGCCCATCGTCAACAAACTCATGTGACCTTAATAATGTTATCTACCAGATTTCTACCATTCGCCAAAACTACGAAAAGACCCGTGAAAACAAGATCGACACACACCACCTCTTCTTCGATTTTAAAGCCGCTTTCGACAGCACAAAAAGGAAATGCCCCTATATCTGAACTTGTTATCCCCGCAAAGTTAATAAGACTGTGTAAGCGGACGTTGAGCAACACCAAAAGCTCTGTCCAGATCTGGAGCGTTTCCGACGCAGTACCCGCGACTGAAGCAGAGGGAGAAATATACCTCTACTCCCTTTGAAAGACAAAATGGAAAAGGACCAGGCTTCACTTTGAATCTCCAATTGGCGCTAAACAGCGAAAGGGAAGATCGACTGGAGCGCTGTTGTAAACTAGGCAATAACCACGTAAGCGGYGTCTATGCCAATAAAGGAAAAGAAAATAGCTGTAATCTCAGAACTCTGYAGTTTATGTCATTATTGCTCTGAAAGACGCGGCCAGCTGACGACCTTGATTTAATGCAACATACTTACATGCATGTGTTTACAATATTGCCGTAATTATTATAATCCCCTTGTTAAACTGCTTATTGACAATTAGCCGTATATTATATCATATTTTAAAACATTGTTGAGTTTATACATACATATTTTTGTATGCAGTGCAAATACGTTTTTATTAACTTCTACGGCAGTTTGATTAATAGTGCAAAGAAATTACAATGTTTTATTTATTACGAATKTAAGTTGCATGGCAATTTAATTATTTGTTTAATTTCACCCACACACATATTCAACAACGCATATGCGCGTAATACTAGTCATTATTCAGTAAAGATAGTGAACTGACAAATTTAATGACACGCAAACATCCTTTTATACATACAGTACGTTTTAGTCAGAAGATAAAAGCTCGAGCCGTTAGGACTAGCATACTTAGTGTTATTGTGGAAGCGCGTTACAAAAGGTCGACTGAAGCTAAAAGCTTCTTTTATAAATTATATTTTTCTGAAGCTATAAAAAGAGTTAAAAATAATAAATTTTTTCACTTTTCCTCTCAATATTCTCTCTACTCTCCCTACAACACTCGAATGTAGTGCATACAATGTTGCCGATAGATGCTGCTTACCTCGTGGCGGCTCTCTTGGTACTCATCTACATTTGGTGTCGCCATACATATGGCTATTGGAAACGCAATAAGATTCCCTATATGACGCCACTGCCACTGATCGGCAATATGGGTGTGTTGCTTACAATGAGGAATAGTTTTTATCTATATCTATCTGATGTTTATAAGGATGCAAAAATGTCAAAGGCTGCAGCGGTCGGCATCTATATACTTAATCGGCCAGCGTTAGTGTTACGTGAACCGGAACTTATAAAATCCGTGCTAATAAAGGAGTTCCCGAAGTTCGGCAATCGGTCAGCCGGCTGTGATCCRCACAATGATCCCTTGGGTTCGAATAATCTATTTTTCATACGCAATCCGCAATGGAAGAATTTGAGAATGAAAATAACGCCGATTTTCACAACGGGAAAGATCAAACAAATGTATCCGCTAATGACTGAGGTTAGCACACGCATAAATGTTCCTAACTTTTGTATTAATATATTTTTGTTACTATTTGCATGCCTCGTTTCGCGTTAATAGATCGGCACKGAGTTGGAAGCCCATTTGAAATCGTATGCGAAGAATGACGACGGTTTCGTAACTGAAGTTAAAGAGGTTTGTGCACTCTTCACCACCGACATGATTGCAACCATTGCTTTTGGTGTGAAAGCCAAYAGYCTTGTRAATCCAAACGGCGAATTTCGCACKCAAGGAMGAAAACTKTTAACCTTTACACTCAGCCGCGCTAAGGACTTCTTCATCGCYTTTTTCGTTCCCAAATGGGTCACTACAATGCGTATTAAACTTTTTACAACCGAGTTCAGTTCCTTTTTACGTGGCACCATCGACCAAGTGATGGCGTTAAGAGAGAAGAGCAAAGCGACGCGTAACGACCTGATCGATGTGTTGGTGAGCCTTAAACAAGAGGCGGTTGCGAAGGGCGAATATAATGCGCAGTTKCAGGATRTGTTRACAGCACAAGCWGCCGTATTTCTGTCAGCTGGTTTTGAGACGTCATCTTCGACG